GGGAAGGGAGGGAAGGGGAGTCATAAAAATGATCGCCGTGTTGGCTATATTTGTTAACCCTGGATGTTTGCCCATAAAGTCCGTTAGAATGTGCTGATGTTTAGACACAGAACCGCACCAACTTCGGGCAGGGAGGGCCCGGGGTGAGGGCCCCTAGCGCCAGCCGGAAGGGGATCAGTACCTTCCCTATCTTATTATCATCCAGCGCCAGGATCTCCAGGTTCCTCAGCGAGCAGATCTGCATGGGGAAGCCTTGCATTTGGTTCTGACTGAGGTCCAGGAAGCGCAGGTTGACCAGGCGCCGGAAGGAGCGGCGCAGCGAGCGCAGGTCGGCGTTGCACAGGTAGAGCAGCTGCAGCGCGGTCCACTTGCAGACCAGGCGCGGCACCTTCTCCAGCGGGTTCCCGCTCAGCGCCACCTCCGTCATCTCCGAGAGGCTCCCCAGGGTGCGCGGGAGGGAGTGGAGGCGGTTGTAGGAAAGATCCAGCACCGACAGCTTGTCGCACTGGCACAGGGACTCGGGCAGCCCCTGCAGGCTGTTGCGAGCCACGTAGAACTTCTGCAGCTGGGTCAGCCTGCCGATCTCCTCCGGGAGCGCCGTCAGCCTGTTCTCATCCAGGTCAATGATCACCAGGTTGTGGAGGACGCAGAGCTCGGGCGGGAAAACCTCAAATTGGTTTTGCTTCAGGTAGAGCTCCCTCAGTTTGGTCTGGTTCACGATTTCCTTGGGCAGAGACTTCAGGCGGTTTCCCGACAGGCCGAGCAGCTCGAGGTGGTGCAGGTGCTTGCAGATGTCGGTGGGGATCGCCCGGACCTGGGTGCGGTAGAGGCGGAGCTGGCGCAGGGAGCGGATGCTGCTGAGCACCGGGATCCAGGAGGGGAGGATGGGGTTGTCGCTGAGGTCCAGGCCCTCCAGGCGGCGCAGCTTTCCCAGCTGCGGGCACAGCTTGCTCAGCCTGTTATTGTTCAGGTAGAGGACTTTGATGTTCTCCAGGTACTGGATCTCCTGGGGGATCTCCTCGATGTCGTTATTTTCCAGGTGCACCTCTTCTAATTCTCTTAATTCTAGGATCCCCGGTGGGATCGCAGCCAAGTTCTGATTAGCGGCATCGAGGAAAAACGTTCTCCCAGATGTGCCGTGGATCATGTTTCGATGCGCGTTAGAGGAACGTTCTACTGCTTGGGTGATGCCATTTGGTATTATCTTGACGGGACATTCAAATATTCAAAATCTGGAATATTGTGAAAAGGAAAAAAAAAATCAGAGTTTACCTGCCACCAGGGTTGGTATCCTGAAAGAGAGATCAAATTAAAATTTTAGTTGATTGAATTTAGTGCTTGACATTGCGCCACAACATAAAATAAAGGTTTTTGTGATTTGTGTTGGGAGAAGAATTAAAGTGTAGACTCCTCTTACTCCTAACAGGTTAACTAATATTTTTAAAAATAGTCTAAATTCCGTTTTTTGAAAAAATGCTCATCTTGATTCTATTTCCAGGTAGGCTGTAGAAAGTTGCAAAAGATCATTGGTCCTACAATAAACACTGAGAGAACACTAGAAAAAATTTAATATTTTAAAATATTTTATTTTTCCTTAAAACTACTAGAGAGTTGTGGGTGCACAGGTCAAGAGAATTAAATTTGAGAGATGGACTAGTCCTCCCTGAATAAGTAGAGACCAGTGGGCGCTTTTATGCCTGTGGCATTTTCAAGTTTGGAGACTGACGGGGGGGAACAAGCCATCCGCTAGCTAGGCAAAGGGCCTTCTGGGGTAAAGAGAAACCAGCCAAACTTTTTGTTGTTGTTAATCTTCACCCAAGGACATTTTCCCATTGATTTTTAAAGAGTGGAATGGAAGGGGGAGAGACAGAGAAAGAGAAACATCGATGTGAGAAAGACACATCTATTTTTCTTTTTAAATATTTTTTATTTTATTTTTTTTATTGATTTCAGAGAGGAAGAGATAGAAGCATCATGATGAGAAAGAATTACTGATTGGCTGCCTCCTGCATGCCCCCTACTGAGGATCAAGCCCATAACCTGGGCATGTGCCCTTGATGAGAATCGAACCCGGGACCTTTCAGTTCACAGGCCGACACTTTATCCACTGAGCCAAACCAGTTAGGGCGACATCTATTGGTTGCCTCCTGCACAACCCCCCTCCAGGGCCAGGGATGGAGCCTGCAACCGAGGAATCGAAACCGGGACTCTTCAGTCTGAGGACCTACGCTCTTATCCAGTGAGCCAAACCAGCTAGGGCTTGACTGAAAACTCTTATCTGCATTTTAATGGGCTTTGATGTGCACAGGCAAATGGACCCCATAGTCCAGTAACACCAGGATGCTTATGTGCTCTAGGATTTACTTAAATTAACCTATTTAATCTTCACTAGAACCCTAACAAGGAGGCGCCATTATAATTCCTGTTTTACAGATAAACTAAGTAACTAAAAGAGCTCTTCTCAGGATAGAATAGGACGTGGGAGCAGAACCAGAGAAGGTGACTCAACCTCACATAGGTTTTTAGTATCATTTATTCACAGGATGCCTGGTTTTTATAAGAATAATTCTTGGGCGTGAGGTTTCAAGCTTGATTTTTCTTTCTCAGCCTTCCAAGTCATCTGGGAGAAATGTGTGTGGACTAGCCATCCTGATTAGAGTGAACACAGTGTGTCTGGGCTTCCAGACACATAAAAGAACTTATTTCTCCTAACCTTCATCTTGCTCCATGATGAATCCTGACTAGAATGTCTGAATGTGTGTGTATATATATTATCTCACCTTAATCAGATATCACATATGTGTCTGGAACCAATTTGATGGCCCTCTGAAAGATATTTAT